TTCCATCGAACCAAGTCGCAGTGTCTAGCGGACACGCAAGCCTCGTTGAGGCAATAATCGATTGGAGCTGTAAATGCTGTCAATCTCAATTGGGGATTGTGTAACGGGGTTACACGTACCCTGGTAACAGGGGTGTGTGTCACACAAGATGGACATGAAGTGACTGCAACCAAATAAGAATACGCTACGTGGCTGGGTAGCCAGTAGTTATGCAGGTAATTAGATTTTTCTATATATATTTAGGAAATCTATACATTTAAAATTACGCGGCTTTGCCGCAGATAAAACAAACAAAGACAGTTTAATTTAAATAGTTTATTAGCCTTGGGTTGAGGTTCTAACTACTCTTGGAGGTAGTGAATTCCGATCCGCTACACTCGTACTGGTTCTTGTGAAGAACGTAAGGTCGGTGACCTAAATTACGCTTCATCTAAGCGCAAAGCTACGGCAGCCCCGCAGCATTAATAGCCTAAATCATTCTTCTTCCTCCAGGCCGGAATCGCCTTTCTCCCTAAGAACGATTGATATTTTAAAATTAACAGGTGATAGATATATCAGCTTAACTATCACAAAATATAAAAAATCTTGTTTGTTACACGCGAGTATAAGGGTCCACGTTTCTCACGGATCTCTCCTTCACAAAGCTTCTTCAATTCCGATAGCTTGGTACCTATATATGTCGCAATTTCTTTCTGGTGTATCGTAAGTTTGCAAAATAAAACATCAATTTTTTTATATGCAAAATTGCACTGGAATGTAAGTCGCACGTACAAAAAACACATTCATGGCGGTATACGCCCAGATTTTGACGACATCGTTAATTAAAGTAGAATCAAGCCAATAACACCAATACTCGGCTCTAAGCATCGACTTGTTTCAGGACCGCAGTCCCACGAACAGGTACCTCACAACTCGACAAACGCGCTCCACCTGACAATTGTTTCGGACGGTCAGCGGAGGACATGTTCAATAAAATGACAAACTTTACAGATTATGTCCACATGTGAAGAGCGGATCTCTTTTTATACATCGGCTACCGATAAACCCTGTTGAATTGTTGTGAAACTAATTAGCGAAATTGATGCCACCAACAGTTGCTGACATCAGCGAAACGTATATCTTACTCAAACACCCCACAAACAACGTAATATCGAAATCACAGCCCGTGGCATTCAGAAGATATAAAATGAGTTATTAACGTTTGACTACCAAACTCTGCCTACACCTGCAAGCTGATTATTGGTGCCATCGCCTTCAGCGAGGGTTGAATCCGCTCATACACCTTACGCGTGCGCACATATGTCCTCACCTACTAGTACTCGTAGGACCACCAATTCATAGCGCTAACCGAGAAGCATATATTATACCAAGGTGTCCGCTCAAAAATTATCTTGTGCCTCGAACATAATTACCATACTGACATGCGACATTCATAGTGGAGGAGACACAAAAGCTGGTTTCACCACCAAATTAATATAGTCTGGCTTATACATTATCTTAAAATACACTCGATCTTTAGCTATCTAATTGTGCCACTGTCTTTGGAGACGTGATGCGATATTCCTGCGCGCAACGACGCTTGATCTGTATAGATCACAAATAGCTTCGGTCAAGTCTGCGCAATTTGAACTTGATTAGGGCAATATACTTCAGCAAATATGTCATCACCTACTAATACTCGTAGGACCACCAATTCATAGCGCTAACCGAGAAGCATAATCTTGTGCTTCGAACATAATCACCATACTGACATGCGACATTTACAGTGGAGGAGACACAAAAACTGGATTCAGTATCAAATTAATATAGTCTGGCTTATACCTTATCTTAAAATATACTCGATGTTTAGCCATTTAATTGTGCCATTGTCCTTAGAGACGTGATGCGATATTCCTGCGCGCAACGGCGCTTGATCTGTATAAATCACAAACAGCTTCGGTCAAGTCTGCGCACCCTGAACTTGATTAGGGCAATATATTTCAGTGCAAATTGCACCTTGCAATTAATAAAAGTAAAACGTTTTCTTTGCCACATTAAGCTGGCAACGCTAACACGCGATCGCGCGTTTATGCCCAATGGCATCTACATGGTGTTAATCACAGTCTGTTTTGAAGGCTGACTCACCAAAGACCACATGAGATGACCGATCTGAATTCGAAGGTGCAAGGTTCAAAGCACGCATCCGACTTTCTTTCAAAATAGTATAGACCGCCTTTTTTGACGAACCATTTGACAGCATTTTGAGTGAGATTGATAAGGAATTGTGCTATGTCGGCATGGCTTGTACTTCATTTATGCAAGTCTTCGGCCAGACCAAACACTGTCGCATCCTTTGTTTGACCAGAAAAATTGCCCAATCTGAAGAAGACTTTATCTTTCCCGGATTTGTCTGCAAGCTCTGGTTTCCAGCGGTGTGACCGACATAAAGAACAATTCTTCAGTGCCAGGGACTCACTTGTCTATTTTGACGTATACTTCATTTAAGCGCGAACACCTAAGCACTGCTCCACCGTATTTTTTGCATCCGTCACTTCGTGTTGCGCACGATGATGGACAGTCATACTATCGTAAGGCTCGATTTGGCCTAAAAGCTGCATCGTCAGACGATTGATCACGCCGGTAAAGTGTAAAGTTCTAATCGCATAAATAACCAGACTTTGTGTACGGTATCTAATACTCTACGCAAGCGAAAATGAATGCATTTTTTTGATAAACACACAAAAATTAATCATTTTAAAGGACAGAAACCATTATATCATATAATAAGAAAACACGTTATATGTAAGTAATACATGAGTGTCACATCTAATACTGTGACTTATTTGCTACAGATGAAGCGATCCAAGCGATTCAAGCGATTCAATTTGTTGCTCTCAGGGCCGCCAATTTTCATCAAGTTGGGCATTGAAACTTTGATCTGTGACTAGAATTTTGGTCCTCCCGAGGCTGGTCGACATTGAGTCGGCTATAACATCTTTTCCGGCCGTCATGGCTGTTTCATGCTAAACGATAGATGATTTTTACGCACAGATAAAGTGCTAAATTTCTTTCATCATTATCATTATTTATATAGTTCGGAACATCGCCAATGTTGGAGTCGAACACATCCTCAGCGCTTATTTCAGTAAGTGGAACAGATTAATAACTTAGTAGACATTCGTCCTCAGTCTGATTTCCGACTTTGACGGAGCTTAGAATGAAGGGCTTCAATCAAGGTCAGTTTATTTTGTCGTGACCCTCGCCTGGATCGCAGCCAAAATTTAGCCTTTAAATGCGATGTGCATTTTTCGTAGAATGTATTGTAAATGTCGCGGTACTATCCGTATATGTTTACTTTATCTACTGACGAGTGATAACATGTGCTGGTACTGCAACACGCATATATCACTTCATATTCGAGCAGAAAGATGAAGTGTTATGCATGCATACATCTTAGGGAATAGTGTGATTGCCAAATTGCGTTATGGCACAGTACTAGTTTCATAAATTTATCCAATCACAGCACTCAAATTTTGCACATAAATACTACATGACGTTAATCAAAGACTTGATTTAAATAGTTAGCGCCATCAACCTTGACAGTTTTGCGTGTTATTCCAAATTTGAGCATGAACTAAGCCTTGCGTGTGTTTAGCGGTATCCGACCAATATAAAAATGCTCTTACCCGAACGTATCCCATTTGGTGATTCAAATGCAAGAAATGCTGATTAACACGCAGTAACGCACATAAATTATAATCTTGATATGCAATCGAGTGCAGTTGGACGGTGCAGCAGCTTGAAGTAGGGTATATTCTAGCCCTTCATCTTGACCTTGTTATAAACTTGCTCAGGACGTTGGCACACAAACGCATCATGAATCGATAGAATTGCGCACCCGCTAGCGAATACCTTTTCAATAAGCTTAAGGATGTTTTTTGTTGAGAAGCGTATTTTTTACAATACATTTGCGACCACATTCGTGTTATATTGACTGAAGTCTAGCGTAGGCCGATACTCGAAGGACAATAGTTTTAGCACTTGACTCGCACGCTGGTCTCAGTTGGGCAGATCAAGATATCATGATCCGTGTGTACGGCGACTTCACGCCTCGAACTATAGTCCGGTACACACGAATCAACTCGTCAACTGACAACAACACGAGCTCCATGATCGAGAAGATGACCGTCGTGCGTCTTTCTGTCCTGAGTGCAACGGAATACGCGTTTGAGTGCTTGCCAGTGTGTGGGACACAGGGCTGCCAAGAACGAAACGCTGGTCATTGTTTCTTTGTGCTTGCAACCACCTTCACATATGACGTTGATCAGCTCGTTTCATGGGTCTTGAGGTGTCTTGACGGATAACACTTATTCGCTCAAAATTTCTTCAAAATATCCGCCTCATTTTTATATACCGGCCAGAAACCTGCTCATTTTCATGCCAAAAAAATAGTCGAGATTGATCGAGTTCATCATTTTGAATCTTTTTGTATGGCAATTTCTGTTAATTATGTAATTAATCATTGTTATCTGCAAGGGCCACGTCATTAACGTAGAAAACGACAAAGATCATGATTTTATCGCCTCGCCTGACATTGATGTAGTCATCCGCCCCACACTTCTTGAAGCGCAGCTTAACATAAGCTGTCGACGTTTTGATTTCATTTTAGGGGTGACTATGTCAGAAGGCAGAACTTGAGATTGCAACGATAGTGTGTGGCTTTCCAATAATGAAGTCATGTGGTCATAGAAGGTACACTTTTCTGTCCAATGACTGATTGAGAAACATTGTCTTATCGTTTTCACGTTCATTCGACGCGCAATCAAACTTTGTACGGCCGCCAGACTGAGCAGAATTTTGATTGGCGTAAACCTAGCTAATACCGCAAAGCTTCTTAAAATTCGATATCGTACTTCTGAGGAAAAGCTTTTGACACGAATAGCATTTTGAGCAGATTCACCAGCTCACTTGAAGCAACTGCCTCAATTAAGATTTACTTCAAGGCAATAAGACCGGCGGTAAAATTTGGCTTACGCGCGGGCTACCCGATCCGCTGGCCTACTGTATGCCATTATCAAGAGCAAGGTTAGACGAAAACCAATAAGATCAAGGATGCGTACGTTGTTGGTAAAATATCTACAGGCTGTCGCGCCTTCTCGGCTGCACCCCGATGGCGTGTCAAGATCGAACTGTGATTTCAAAAATAGTCTGACGACCACTGTAAACGGGGTGACACGTGTCTTGCATGAAAGGGCGGGTCGCACAGGATGATATGACCGTACATAGGTGTGAATTACACAAGTTTGTGCTATCACACAGTGGTGTGGCTACACCGTAACAAGAAGCCACGGCGTGGCAGGATTGCCAGTAGTTATACATATTACTATTTTAACCAGTTTTACTGTATTAATTGGGTATTACTATATTAATTGGGAAAACCTAAGGTTTGAGATATTGGCGGATCTGCCGCAACTAAAACAAGTATATACAGTTTCAATTTTGAGCGTAAGAGTTCACTTTCCTTGGCAAAGTCCAAGTACTCTTGGAGGCAGCGGATTGCAATTCGCTGCACCCGTACGGGTTCTTGTAAAGAACATAAGGTCGGTAACCTTTGCTCAGCTTCCTGCTTGGCCCTGAGGGCGTGGAACACCTTGTTGCGCAAGAGCCCGAAACTATAAACACGCGCCTAGAGGCGTTTTCGAGCTATAAAAACTGCTGTACAAGAGCATATACAGCAGACGCCACCGTCGAAGACGTAGAATCCTTCCGACTCAGGCCACGCCCGGTAAGCGTTTAGATCTTC